TTCGGTGGCTTGTCTATTTTACACTATCCCTCATTTCATTTTAATCTGATTTCATTTTAATCTGCCACAATTATTATTATTGTGCTATATTACTGATAAAACTGATAAGTTGTTATTTTGTAGAGACGTTGTGGTAACTGTGGTCAAAGTGGCCATATGAAAACAAATAAGAAGTGCCCGCGTTATGGTCTCAGTTCAGTTGTTGACACACCTACAACAGGTCCATCTACTTCTCCTGCCAGTACACAAGATTCTTCCGTCATAGTTAAAATGGAAGGTAGCAAGATATCAATAATACCAAAGGCAAAAACTGAAAAATAGGGATAGCAAAGTTAGTTTAAGTTTGGTTTAGGTTCTAAAACCTTTAGGTTCCAAATTAAAAACTTAGGAACCGAATTTTTATACAAGTTTAAACCTAAGCTAAGCCTGATTCGGTTCAGAGAACCTGTTTTTAATATTTTGTAAGACAAAAAAATAAAATTATATTAAAAAGTTAATGATTAAATTATATAGTTATACACGCAATGATTAGAGGATACATACCTCTTTTTCATTCTTTTGTTTTTTTCTTCGTCATTAGTTGGCTCTAATAATTCGGCACTTTCAAAATTTCATATTATCAATATTATCTAATGTTATCAAATAAATGCGCCTAAAAACGATATATGGGATCATTGTAGCGCGATACCTTAATAGTTGCTCTTCAATTAGTTGCCTGTTACGGACATAGGCATTTATCACGGCTGGATCTGTAACAAGAGTTTTAGTCCAAAATTTTTCTCCATTTTCCGTCCGTATCTAGTTAAAAAATATATTTGAGATTGACTCTTTCTAGGAATGCTCCAGTTCATATATTTACCAATCTGTTTATGGATAATGCTCTGTTACGATGAGAGCCACAGTTATAATTTGCCCGTGAGCCAATACTACCGTCAGGAGAAGCTACATCTTCAAAATCTGCTAAAGCCGGTGAAGGTGACATTTCATTATTAGGCATGGTTGAATCGATCATTTCTTGAATTTCAGCATCAATATCCATCTGCGATAAAAATGAAGTCAGAATATGAAATAATGTAATTAAAACAGATCTTTTAGAATACCTGATTGTCGTCATTGTCCATAAATTGTTCTTGCATATACTGTCCAGATTCGGTAATACGAGAATCATCATGCCTCTCTAATTCCGTATCAGATGTTATTTCATCACGTTTGCTAAGTGAGGAGAACTGGGCATTCCAAATTCGATACACCTATGAAAGGAAGGCGAACTTAACATGCAGATATGCGTTATATAAAATATTGATCGATAAATAATACCTCTTGACCGTATCTTTTCCATTGTTCTACAACATTATATTTGTGACCACTTTTAGGCTTATTAACAATTTCCGCTGAAAATTAAAATAAAAAAATTTAGAAAATCAAATTGAAGTAATATTTTATTTTAAATATAAATCTCATAATAGTAACCAAGTTTTTCTTGGGCGGTTTCACCGGCCTTCAGAAAAATATCTTTCATAGAGATTCTAATGAAGCTGAAGCCTTCGCCTCTTCCTGTTGGATCACCTTCGCCATGTAATTTCAGCATAGCATTTGTCTAAGATAAGCATTTCAAATTTCAAATTGTGGCTTAATAATAGGAAAATATACTGGAAAACAAGAACTATTATGCATCCGGCAACCAATCATAATAGGAACATATAGGTGGAAAGACCGACAAAAAATCAGGTCAGAGACAGAGTATGCACAATCAAGTGATTGAATGTGCATTCCTGAAAAATGCCACTCGGCTCCGGAGAATAACATGACTGCACTTACTTGCGTGGCATTCAAAAAATTCCGCGTAGTTATCCAAGGTGCTAATTGTTGTTCAATCGGTAGTTTGGATTCTTCCAGGGCAAGCTTAGAATCATCCTGTGCATCATCATCGTCATTTTTTGCCTTGCTACCGCTGTCATCATCTTCATTGGTTGATGGCTTGTATCCTGCGTCTGCCAGATGTCGTTCACCGACCATCATGCTTTCTTCTAAACATATCTGAACAAGAATTTAATGGTTAAAAGAGGCACAAAACACACGTTTATGATTATGTGAACTTCAAAATTATATAAACCATTTCTGGTGTCAACATTTTCCGAAGTTCTTCTTCACTCGGAAGGCGGATCGATGGTTTCAATTTCCATATTGGACCCGAGTAAACATTTCCCTTCTTACGCGCTAATTCGGCAATATCCTACGCATCAATTCGAATTACGATCATAAACATAGTCGATGACATATTAGGAATGTTTATGTAGAACTTAATATATGGTACCTTTAAACGTGTACGAAGTGTGAATTCTGTATGATCAGGAAATCGTTTGGCAAGCTTATCCTGTATCAGGTAATGATATCTATTATTTTTCATAAGCCTGAATGCAGCAACTTGAATTCTGTTATTTGCTGTCGTTTTAGCCTTTCGAGATGGTGGCGAAGGCACTTCTTGCATTGGAAATGTTTGTCCGACAACAAAAAGGTTCTTTATTTCACGCACATAATATTTCGACTTAGCCTTGTAAGTATTTCTATAAAATTACATCAGTTAACATAATTCACTAAAATTATTCCAAAACAGTACAAGTCACTCGTTATAGTGAGGTCATCAGTCTGAAGAAGAAAATTTTCATATAGTTTGCAATTTATGTACATAATTATATAGGACTGAGTTTTGATAACATTAATTAATTCTTAATTATATAAATCTTCATTAGTCGAGAAGTGTTGTCATTTGGACTATGTCTATGTGCCAATTGGAAATTGTTTTATCCATAATTTATCCATATTATATTCAATTAGTCAAATTGCAACATTAATGTCAAGAATTCATTATAACGAGAGTGACTTGTATAAGCAAATTGCATATTGAACGAACCTAATGACCAAGAAGTCGGTGTCTTTGGCGTCATGACTGAACAATGGAGCTCTGATCAAATTGTTAAATAATGATGGTATAACTTGTCCTCTTTCAACATCTCCAAAATTCATGAAAGGAGATTCATCCATCATATCAAGTATTATTGGATCGCCTACACTAAGCTGAAGTGAATAAAAACTTAACATTCAGTCCTGCTTTGATAATGCATTTGTTTTGTGTAACAATACGTTACCTCAGGAACATAAGTGTCATACGGGTCTGTTTTACGATAGTAATTAAGCAACAAACTTCCCATTCCAATATTGGAAAGAATTGGCGGATATTCTTCCTGTAATTCAGTTAAAAATTTCATTAATAAATAATATAGTATAGAGTAGTAAGTACTAAAGTGCTAAAAAAGTCTCTACCGAATACTCTAGCAAAACAAAATTACTGTTATCCTTCAATGTTAGATCTTTTGGACTCCGCATTTCCTCGTGTTTTCTATAATGTTTTCTCTTTTTCAATTTCTTATGTGACTTTATCCTGCTAAGATGAATCTCTTGATTCAGAGGGAACTGAATCGCCGGACGATGCAATGCCCGAATATCAGACTTTGTGAACTTTGTCTTAAACTAATTCAGAGCACTTTATCAGAACAATTTGTTTTCAAATACGAGTATATAAAAATAAAAAATATATATATTACATATTGAATGTGTAATTGAAGAGCTGGCAAAGAATGGTGCACAAACATTTGTCCAGAATTGAGTCGTCTTTTAAAATCTATTTGCTCACTATCGAAAGACGCATCATAAGGTATATTGTCATCAAAAGCAACAGCTTTATATGCATCTGAGCTTAATGGCTTATCAATCTCCTATATATAGGGAAAGTAGGAAGCAGAAAGTTAATTTACTGATTATTAAAAACAGTAATTATTAGAGATATATAACTTCTCTCACCATGGGAGAATATTTTCTGATTTTTTTAACGTCGTATTGGCCTATTATACGAATAAAATTAAGAGCTACACGCATAATATAGGTCAAATTGATTGTTATTTTACAAAGGACCAACCTTGTGAATCAGGATTATTTATCGTTGGTAAGTCAATAATAGAATAATTGAAAAGCATATTCGGATCATTCATATCTAATGTTAATTTGACAAAAGGAGCCAAGCCTTTATGATCGTCCCATATTATAGAGTTAAGCCACTCTCCACTTTCGAACTCAGTATTTCGATAACTGAAAGGCATGTTGGACTGTTTAATGTTTATCATAATTAAACTAATTATTGTGTCTTATTCAATATTTAATTTCCATCAAATAGACTTAAGAATACCTTAAGCACTTTTTCATCACTTGAACTAAAGTTAAATGCAAATAATTAACATTTAAATGAGATAATTCAATAATAATAATAATAATCCATATAATAATTTTCCGATAAATTAGTTATAGTTATTTGCCAATCAGATAGAATAGAATCAAGTAATCAGTACCTAGCAGATTCGTCGCCAACTTCGTCACCGTCACTATCCCATGAAATTTTATCTTCCCATGTGCTCATTGTAATGGAATAATAAGTATTGGGATTACCAGGAACTTTCCAAAATGATTGTCCTATTTCATGTATATGCTTCTATTGAAGTGGATAAAAGTCCATAAGATTATATTTGTCTTGTATACTTGTGCACATTAAAATTGTATATTCCAACACTAACATCATCATCAAGCTTGAAATCAACATCATCGTTCTCATAATTGCTTTCTGAAATTTGACTCATAGGTGAAGTAGGTGTCTTGATAATAGCTTTATTTTCAACGTTGTCATCGAGGCATGGTTCCTCAATAAGGAGTTGCTGAGATGATTCAAATAGTTTTCTATCATCTACCTCAAAATTAAATTGTAGTTGTGTCTCATCTATAGGAATTCAAACATTGATATAAATAATATGATCAAAAATTCTACAACAAACATTACTAATAACACTACCATGTCTGCTCAAAGGGTTCAACTTTCGGTTTTTAATTTTTGTTGCAAATAAATCTGAAAATTTTAAGATCTTGTCCTTTTCGAACGCAGGATACAAAGTTGTTATGTCAAACATTTCGTTTGTAGATGGTTGCGCACCAGCCATCGGTATTCCTACATTATGCTGAGAGTGAGTGTGAAATTCCAATCCATTTTTAGGAAGACCTGATACTCCATGCATATGAATATCTTCAGTTTTATAGCAGCTTGTTTCATCAAAATTGAAAGCTTGCTGAGGCGGTAAGCCCAATGTTTGCATACTCTCTTTGACACGGTTTAAGCCTTGTTGATAGTGTGTTTCTGTAAACACCAGTTCACCTGGATCATCCGTGTAAACCTCCATAGACTCAGAGTAGTCAACAGCGCCATCAGCATGTTTAGTGCTAGACTCTCCTGGTGCATATGTTGGTGTATGTGCAGATGCCTCACTTTCACCAGCGGCATCGTCAATTTCAATTCCCAGTGAACGGACCGAGAAAATCTGACTTAGCACAGCACCTTCTTCAGCACCTTTTTGCAAAGATTCACGGATTTCCTAAGAATTTATTGCTTTAAAAGCTAAGATCAAAAATAAAGCACCGATGTAAAAGCTAATTTTGTCTTACCTCACCAAGCCCTGAATCTTCCAAATGACCTTCTTCATCGACATTTCCAAACAGAAAACCTCCAATCGCTGCCATAAGACAAAATCACGAAAAACAAATTATAAACAATGAAAGTGTGTAATTGTGTTTCTTTGATTTCAAACCAGGTAAACCATATCAAATAACATTGTATTGACAGTCACGTGATAATGTGATGCATGCGGTTCAAACCGAAAAGTCTGGTCGAGTCCAAACTGTACCAGACTCGAACTAAATCGAAAGTTATACGTGCAATTTTAAAAGATAGTCTTTTAAAGTGGATCACCTCAATTTAATTAATAATTTATAACACGCTCCCTGGAAGAAAATGTTACAGTTTATAATACTGTATTACGATTTATTGTTTACCGAGCTTCCGATTTAATATTGAATCAAAAAATTTACCAATTATAATAATTTCCCTCTCGACATGTAAAAGTCTAACAAGGTTTGCTTAGATACATATTTTTTATTTTCTTGACTAGTTCTTGTTAATAGTCACAGAAATCTTCGTTAAAAACGCTAACAAATGCATATATTATGTTAAAAGCCGCCGATAAAAATAAAAACATTCAAACTGAACAAATAAAACAAACAAAATAACGCAAGTAAATACCCTAAATAAATGATAACGATAAATACAGTACAAATGTGATACATTATTAAGATAAATAAGAAAGCTATAAATCTTATATTAGATCTAGTAATTGTAAACTTCACGGCTAAAGTTAGGATCTTGAATAAAAGCAGATAGTACTTTGCTTCCAGTTTGCAAAAGAGGATGACCAGCAACACTGATAATGAAATACATGTTACATAAAATAACCTGCGAGATAACCAGATATAAAATAAAATTTATAAACACATACATTTGGAGAAATCTTTCAAGTCCCTCTCTACGAGCTTCAATGACCTCATCGGAAAATCGATTGGTAAAAACCTTGCCTGGCAAAGGAGGAATAGTTACTCTTGAAGATTCCCGCTCAAGAACATCACGAAACCATTCAAAATCACTATATCGCCTTCTAACGGAAGAATATTTAAACTTAAATGCAGGGATATTCGTCTGTATCATCATGAAGATAAAAATGATTTAACAATTTGCACACATGACATGAAATATCGAGCATAATCTGCTTAAACAGACGTATCGCGTCAAATTTTACCCGGCAAACGATCTCATAGTCAGTGTACATTTTGCGACCAAAGCCTGTTAGCGATAATACATAATAAATTGCAATGTCACTTATAATGACATAGAATACCAGAAGTAATGCTCTAACATCAAATACCTTGAGTTTGGGGATTCCGCACTTCAATTTCCAGAAAGTTCTCTGGTATTCCATACATCTCATCAATAGTTTGTTCTTTAATTTGCAGTCTGGAAGTCGCTTCAAAATTTTTCTGCGTAGGTGATGTCATCGTGGACGATTTACAAAAGATATAGAAATGTATCTTAAACCAATCTATACTCAGGTTAAGTGCGAACAATTCCGGATTACGTAATGATTGATGTATCACACCTATTCCATAAGTTATCATGCGGTTAATCAAACCTTAAAATATTTTTAATATTAATAATATATCATTATAAAAAGGAATAAAAGTATATGCCGCGAGTCAGATTCGAAGAGGCGTAGATTTAAAAATTGAGTTGCGTCAGAATGAAATTCGATTCTGAGGTGCGTCAGACTGATTATCATTTACGCGATGTGTATAAGTGTAATAATTATTTATTGTGTACTTCGTGTCGAGTTAAACTATAGAAATATTCATTCACTATGCGCAAACTTTTCATGCTAAAAATGTCAAAATTTTGGCATCGAATAAAGAAAATCACTAATTAATCAAAAATTATAGGAATTAAAGTTCATTTTTATCCCATTAATATTACACCGCGTACCTCATTACTTTCATATACTTGAAATTAGATAATATTCTAACGGAAGAATATTTAAACTTAAATGCAGGGATATTCGTCTGTATCATCATGAAGATAAAAATGATTTAACAA